TGGAAGTATGGCCATTTTCACTATATTGGTTCTTCCTACCTAAGAGCAAGGCATGTCTTTATATCATTTTTGGATATCCTCTTTGATTAAAAAGTAGAAACGGCAAATTAATATATGAAAAAATGTTCAACATCACTGGTCATTCATGATATGCAAATGAAAACAGTGCTGAGATTCTATCTCACTCCAGAAAGAATGGCTGCTATCAAGAAATCAACTGATAACAAATACCAGCTGCACTATGGGGAAAAAGGAACCCTTCTCCACCATTGGTGGAAATGTAGACCAGGGCAAACACTGTGGAAATCAGTGTGGAGATTTCTCAAGAAACTAAAACTAGAAGTTCCATTTACCCCAGCTATTCCCCTTTTGGGTATCTTCCCAAAAGAATTAAAAGCATCATATCACAGCAATATATGTATACCCATGTTCATAGTGGTGCAGTTTGTAATAGCTAAATCTTAGAAACAAACCAAATGCCCATCAACTGGTGATTGGACAAAGAAGAGGTGGGGTTTTTTTTTATAAAATGGAATACTTGTCTGTCATAAAGAATAAGAAACTAGAGACATTTACAGCTAAAGGGATGTACCTGGAAACCATACTCTTAAGTGAAATAAATACGACACACATGTGTAAATACCAAATTATTTTTCTGATGTGAGAAACTGAAACTGTAAGTGAGAACCAAAGTGTATAGTAACTATTGTGAAATAGAAAGAAAATGTTCAAAAGGGAAGGGGTTAGGGAAAAGGAAAGGAAGAAAAAATGAGAAAAGAAGGTAAAAACAGAAACAAAGCTTTTGTAAATAGAGGTGGAGGGGTTGAAGGGAGGTAAGGGGAATGGGAAAAAATAAGACAAGGTACAAATTCCCAATGATGAATGGGATCATAATGTATACCTAAAATGTACCAATAAACTTAATGAATAATTTAAAAAGAGGCCTTGGATCAGGACAAGAGGAAGCATGACTTGAAAGTGTCTCTGAAATTGGCCAGACCTCATACTTTGGATGCTCATGGGTATAAAAGGCTAAAGACAAACTCCCTTGAAAGACTTTGCTCTAAGAAGAAAGCTGCAAGGTACCCTGCTTGAGAAGAATCAAATATAACATTGGTTACTCAGAATTCATTTCACCACACTTAGCCACCCAGGTACTCAAAGGCCACTGTGGCCATGATCTAGAGAGACCTAGCTAGCACTTGAGCTGGTGACAGAACTTGGCAACATCCAAGGTGCTGGTTTCTCAGGAATGTAGAATGCAAAAGTTGGGGGATTGTGGAGATTTCCACTTAGATTTCAAAAGAAGGCCTTGGAGAACATAAAATGTGCCTCTTAAAGGGCAAGGTGGGAAGTTATAAGAGTGAAGCCAAAGATACAGTAGAAACCACAAGAAATTAGAGAAGCCAAGAATATGGATCATCTCCTGAGTAGAACCCCAGGCAATGAGCAGAGCCAACCAAGAGAGGGACCATGTGGTCTGTAACTAGCAATGCCAAAGGGCAGAAATGCCCAAGCCCTTGGTGCTCATGTCCCACCAGAATTTGTTCTGGATGTTGGACACAGAGCTACAAGATGTAATGTTCATCCTGCTACTTTTCAGCCTTGCTTTGGTCTAATTCCATTCCATTCCACTATTCCCCCCTTTTGGAATGGAAATGCTTACCCTGTGACAGCTTATGATAGAATATTTAATTTTCTTTCTAATTTTTACAGGGCTCACAGCTAAGAGTCTCTCTTAAGTCTTAAAGGCAACTTTGGACTTCAACATTTCAGCAATGCTGGAACTGCTAAGATTTGACAACTCTTAGAGATGGACTAAATGTATTTTGTATAATGGGATGGACATGAGTCTTTTGGGGACTGGGTTGACATGTTATTTTTTATATGTAAAATTTCCCCTAAGAGTCTCTTGTGTTTGCAAAGTAATTGGATCAAGGATATGCTATATTCAGTAGATGTCACTCACAAATTAACTCAGTAGCTGAATATGTTGTTAGGAGGTAGAATTTGGCTGGAAGTGGGTCATAGGACCATGACCTGGAAGGGTTTATTTTTACCTCAAGCTTTTCCTTTTCTGCCTGCTTCATGGTTGCCATAGAATGAGCAGCCTTGCTCTGCCATGCAGTTTCTTCATTGGAAAAAAAGGAAAAAATTTTTGAAAAAAGGATGAAATCCTTGAAACTATGAGCCAAAATAAAGTTCTCCTTCTTTAAATTGTGGGTGCCCGGTATTGTGTTTAGGTGATAGGAAATCTGACTAATACACCAGGATTCAATTGGATGTCTGAAGAATTTATTGAAAATATGTAAGACAACAAGAATACATGATGTGATCTTTAAGTAAAGCCAGGAGGTTTTTGAATGTAGAGTAGGTGGATGATGATGTCTATGTAAAGGGATTTCTGTTTTACCAGAACCATGCTGCTCACCACAGGGCTTCTGGCACCATTCCTAAAGATCCTCAGGTCTTTAGTCAAGACATTTAGGCCCAAAAGTTCCCCACAGACTGTCTCACAGGGACCTGCTGGGTAACAAGGTAACACTGACTTTGGTGGTAGAGAGACAGTGCAACACAGCAGCAGGCAGACAAGCTTATGCACAGCCAGCCAAGAAAGTGGGATGCCTGTGTGTGAGCCAAAACTTCCTGCTGACCTTGAGCTAAAGTGTTGAGCCTCTGGCATGCACCATTAAAAACTCAGATTCCCTAAGCAGAGAGTGAACTTCATATACAAGTGCAGGAAAGCATCCCTGTTCAACTACTTGGGACATGACATTAATTAACAGAGTCACCCTTGTTAATTAGAAGGCACAGAGAAAAATAAAATCTATCAATTCTCTTACCTTCTATTGAGATCAGTGCTGTTGGGCAGAAATAGAATGCAAGCTACAAAGGCAATTTTAAATTTTCTAGTAGATACATAAAAAAAGTAGAAAGGGGTAAAATTAATATTAATGTGCATTCCCCAAAATACCTGATATACCTTAAATGTTATAATTCTAGTATTTAATCAATACTTTTAAAATTATTTTTGACATAATAAATCCTTGAAACTCACATCTCAGTTTAAACTATCAACATTCTAAGTCTTCAATAGATAAACATGAGTGATGACTACAGTACTGGACAGCATAGACTTTAGAAACTGAAATAAAGGTGTTACATCATCTGCAAATAATGGGACCGGTCCCAACTTCGTAAGGCAAGGCACCAACTTGCACTTTTACTCCTATGTTGGCTTACTGGCTGCTGGTACTAGAAAGGCTATTTAACTTCTATGTGCTACCAGCAAAATGCTGCCAAATAACCTTTGAAGTTGGTTGGGATGAATACGTGTACAAATCTCCACAAATGATATCACATTAATAACATAGCCAGATGGAGAAAGCCCTCCAGTGCTAGCTACAGTGTGAATGAGAAATAGCTCTGAAGAGAATTAGATACTCAAATTTTTTTCAGATTTAAAATCAAAATAAGAGAAAAGGAAAAGGACAGTTTTGATATAGCTTTTTATAACTTGATACCACTTGTTATCCACTAGATTGCTTGTATGAGTATACACAGACTGAAGGAATCTATATGTTGTTTTGTCATCTTCAAATCAAGGAGTCAAAGCATTCTGGATGGACTTTGTTTTGTTTCAGGTCTGGCATACAAGGAACCTAGAAGTCTTTGCTCCACCCTAAAAAGTACCATGCTGAATACATTGAAAAACTAACTTGTTAAAAAAGAAAAGTGGAGTCACAGGACAAACTGCTGTGCACATAATTGGAGAATCAGTTAAAACAGCAAATTACAAGTTAACCAGAGCAGGAGCCAGTACTGAGGTAGACAAACCAAAAGTACAATTGATGAATTTCTGAAGGCTCAGTGTGGACAAGTCTTGAGAGAGAAATTTCAGGGAGACCCAGGGCTGGAGGATTGGAGGGATCACACTTTTTGTGAGTTTTACTTCCCGGGGCTCTACTAGGTCCTCACAGGGAAGGTTGGAGAAAAATTCATTGTGTTTCCATCAGAAGGATGGAGGAAAGGAAACACCCTGTAATATTCCAGAACATTCTGTTCTTAACAAAGCTTGCCTTTAAGAGAAATTATTTTATGAAAGCCTACCCTCCTCGGTGATATCAAAGTCTAGTACAACAGGCGAGAAGAAATACCCAACTGTGTCCCCCTCTAGTCATTCAAAGGTGGGGTGAGGTAGGCTGGGGAGCAAGGTAGGCTGGTAAAGTCCATAGTCCAGGGACACAGGCTCATAAAAACCCTGAAACCTAATAAATCATAGGACCAAAGAATGCTGCTGCTGTCCTCCTATACCGGAGAAGCACATTAAAATCTCATTTACTACAATTCATACCTTTATGGGCTCCTTAGTAGACTGAATACAGGTAAGGAGAGAATCTCTGAGCTTGAGGGTATAAAAAGAGACATTTCCAAAATTGAAAAACTAAATGTTAAAAAAAAGACTGAAAAAAAAGTAAAATAACTCAGAGAACATCAAATGGGATAAATGATCCTCACCCTCCAAAACAACCTAGCAATTAGACCTACCACATTCAAACTTCAGAAAATCAAGGTAAAGTCTTTAAAGAAAACACGAGGGAACCTTACCTACAGAGGAATAAAGATCAAACTATGCAAGCAAGAGTGTGGAGTGAAATATTTAAATTACTGAGAGAAGAAAAAGAAATCACACCAAACCAGAATTGTGAGCCTTGAAATATTATCTTTCAAACGTGAAGAACAGTTGCTTTACATAGACCTAAAAGGGAAAAAAATAAACATTTTTATGAGACAATTTCCTGGCCTAGCACAAACAGAGAACAACATTAATTTGGCAGGTAGAAGTAGGGGTTGGGAGACATAGGAATTCTCTGTTCTCCAGACAAATTCAAGGTCAAATTAATTACTAGCGAACCAGAGGGAGAAAATGATACAAAACAGACAAGGGGCGCTGGCGCAGTTTCCTACATCCACAATTTCCCACTGTGTTCAAAGAAAGAGTGGAGGATTTTCAAAGGACAAGCCAAGCAGGAAACTAAGAAATGATACTAGGAGGAAAGACAACACAATACCTTCCTGGGAGGTAAGATTAGTTAGAAAACAATCTTTAAGAATGGAAACAACTTCAGGATGCACCACTCAGAGGTTGGGTCGAAGGCACTGTAGTCCTTAGAGGAGTTAGAAATAAACTATGCTTAACTGCTTCCATATGGAGTGAGAAAGGAGGATTTGAAACAACGTGGGGGCTGGGCTAACAGAACAATATTCCGTCTGGTAGAAAGAAAGAAGTTTCACTTATGGAATAATTTGGAGCAGGATTATTTTTAGATCGACATCATTTACTGGAAATTATTAAACCTCGTGACAGTTAAGTGTATGTGTCAATTTGACTGAATGGAGAAATGCCCAGCAGATGAGTAAGATTAGTAAAGAACACTTCTGGGTGTGTCTGTGAGGGTGTTTCCAGGATGACTGGTATGCAGTCCAGCAAACTGAAGCTGTCCATCTCTGCGCTCTGGCACTGCAGCTCACAGATGGCCCCTGTGGACTATCCTGCCTTCAATCCCATAGGTCTATCTGTTTCTCTAAAGAATGCTAACCAATACAAATCTCTTTACAATCTGCCTTGAACTTTCCCCCTTTCCACTCTGCTTTTTCTTTCATGGTTACCTTTGGTAACAATTCAAGTAGAAACAGTGCTTGCCTCCTAAGAATGAGGAAATTCTACAGACCCAACCGAATACTGTAGTTAGTTCAAAAGGCTCTACTGATGAGAAAAAAACAGTTTGGGCAAATTCTCTTTATTTAACAAAAATGCAAAACAGTATTTCTATAATAATGATTATTTTCTATGTGCTTGCTTATTTTCTTTAGGGTGTTGAACTGACACAAATTTTCCAAAAGATTTATAAATGCCATCTGCTCCTAGGTCTAGAACAAATTTCACTACTTGGCTTCTGAAAGTCAGAGTCAATAAAGAGAGGTTCTTCCAATGGATCTTTTCTTCCCTCCTGTGGTTTGGCATAGCACACTGTTCTGTGCCTCTGTAGCTCCAAAGGATAAAGCCGAGATAAACTTCCTATACAGTCTTACTGTGCATGATTTGAAATCTTGACATTTACTGCAATGTCAGTCGTTTCATAGTGTCCCTGGGTCTTGTTGGCAAGCTGTTCCTTATCAGGACATCTCCACTGGTAAAGGAGGACACTGTCTAAGATGTTGGATGTAGTGGTACTACAGACACATATCAAATACACATACAAAAGTATATATGTTAACAGAATCAAGAGAAAGATGAAATAATATTGAATATGCAATTTCAATTCTAGCTCTATTTTACTAAAAAACAAAGCAAAAAGACTTATTGCTTCCCACTGTATACATCACTGTCCATTAATAGATCACACCCCTATTCTAAATACATGATAAAAATTTCAGCTTTACTTCCCAAGTGGTTTCCATACCATATCTATATTCTGCTGCCTGAATAATAAGACCCTCCAGAGTCTGGCGCCATCTCCTTATTCAGTGTAAGTTCCCACTTCTCCTAACACAATTCATAATGTAATTCCTTTTACTGGACACCAACCATGTGAGTATTTCTACACTAAAGACTTTGTGAATAGTGCCTCTCCTATTTCCACCCTGACATGAGGGCACTGAGTTCCTTCCAGTGTGCCGAGGAAGGCACTTGCACACAGGGAAAGTTAGCGAGCTGGGACTTGACTTAAGATGGGGATAGCTGTTTTTTTCCCCCACATGAACATGCTGACCTCCCAGTGGGCCCATCTCCTCTATGCCCCTCCATTCATTCTGCCCAGTGCCCCCTCTATGCATGCTGCTTCTCTTCTTGAAAGCCTTTCCAACCTCTGCTTCTGGCCATGCACACTGCACACTCGCTTTTCAACCCAGCTCTCAAATCCTTCTTTCAAGAAACCGCCCAGAGGACTTTCACCCATGTTGTTCTCCCTTCTTTCCATCCTCAAAGGCAGTAAATCTCAGAAGGGAGAGCTTGCGCCCTGGAGTGGACTGCCAGGTGTGTGTGCTAACCCAGCGCCTTCAAGTCTAACTTGAAGTTAGTAACTGGTGTTAACTTCCTGTGTCTCCATTTCCTCTCCTGCAAAATGGAGATAATCAATCAGGCCTTTAGCCCAAAGGATTGCTGTCGCATAAATGAGTTAATACTTAGAGTGAGCACCAAAGCTGGTACACAAGTGATTCATAAATGTTAGAATTTTTCAGGTGTACCACAGTGATAACTTCATTATACTCTATCCTATCCTTTAATCACTCACTCAGTATTTATATACACTTTCTCTGTCTAGAACACCAGCTTTGCATGGGCAGCACTATACCACATTTAGGGATGCGCTCCAGTGTTTCACGGGATCAGACATGGCAAACACTTCAAATATCATCAGACTTGGACATTACAAAACTGGCCATTCCCACTTTAAATCACTGTTTTGTTTGGGGTTTTGTTTCTTTGTTTTGCAAAGGAGCAGCCAGTGGGGACCTGCCAGCCTATACATTTCTGAAGGTAAATATCAGGTATTTGGGAGATGATTCTGTTTTGGGAAAGTCATTGGAATGTTTTTAAGTTCCACATCTTGACCCCATCTTAGAGGATACTACGGTGATGATGCCACTCTGTGTTCTATTAAGTAACTGTGTAGATATAATTTCATAGATTACATACTGACACTAGTATATACAAAAATTTGTAGTTCCTAATTTTTCTAAAACTGATGGCATTTTAGCTCTTGAGTTTTATTTCCATATATTTAAGTTTATTCTGTTGTCTTAATTTTAAACCTTTCATTGTAAGTGATTTTCTCTTTCTCTCTCTCTCTCTCTCACTTAGACTTCCCTGCTTCTTTACTGAGGTATTCTAATTTCTTAAACCCACCCAGGACAAAGAAGAAGTACAAAAAGAGGCCACAAATTCTGCAGGATTTTTTTTTCAACTCTGAGCTTTTAATGGGCCTATGAATATGGCTCTGAGGTTAGTTTGCTATGTGGACCTCTGAAGAAAATAGAACATTTTAAGCATTCCCATTACAGATCCTCTTTGTCCTTGGTCTCTTTTCAGCCTCGCCCCGTTTTATTCATCTGCAAACTGCCTTCCCCAATAACAAGCTTCTCCCTGTAAGGAAGTTACGGTTCACAGCAAACTCGAAGACCTCAGCCCGCCTGACTTTTGCCATTAGTCATAATAGAAACACATTTCTTTCATATACACAGACACACAAAACAGAAGATACCAAAAAAGGCCCAAAGAGAAATGTCGTAGCAAAAAAGCATCCAGAAACATCTAAAGAAAAATCACGTATTTTACCACAGCTATCATCTTTTCCATGAAGTGAAAATGTAAGAGCTCCCGCATACCTGCCTGCAAGGGACACATTCCTGTTCCGTTAGAAATACTTAGCACCGGGCCGGGGATTTAGCTCAGTGGAACCCCACCTGCCTTGCAAGCACAAGGTCCTGAGTTCAATCCCTGGCCTAAAAAAAAAAAAAAAAAAA